CCAACAGATGTTCTGCTGGAGAAGGAGGAACAATCCCCTCCTGTACCAGTCAGATCTGATTTGACAGTACACACACACACACACTAAAAAATAAAGTAAAAACAATTAAAAAAATAGATCTGCATAAAAAATAAGCTTATTGAATAAATAGTGAGATGCACAGAAAGTTCAACTACTATTCACTCTGGAGAGAGTTCTGTTGGCCTAATGGTAAGGAGCTATGTTGCCAACCCAAAGGTACATGGTTCAAATCCATCAGTTATTCTACAGGAGAGAGATGGGCAATCAACTCTTGTGAACTTTACTCTCTCTGCAAACTTGCTGGAGGTTTTCATCAACTATGAGTTGGTTCTGATTCAACAACACACAATAAAACAGCATTCACTCTCTGAAGCACCATGAGAGACATAAGAGCTTAAGTTAGTTGATTAGTGACCTACTAAACAAAATAATATCTTATAGAATAAAATTGAGAAAAAATTCAATTTGCAATGTCCAGAATGCAATAAAAATTTCTAAATAAAGAAGCAGAAGAATGAGATCCATATGCAAGAGGAGACTCAAACAATGAATACCAACAAGAATGATCCATATGTTAGAATTAAGAAGTAAAACTGTTTAACTGTTTCAGCTAAAAGTAACTAGCTAGCCTGATAAAGAAAAGTTTAAAATACAGCTGACATGATCAATATTCTTAAGGTCTCTAGGAGTGAATCTTTATTTGTATTGTCTTAAATACCTTTTATTTTTTAATTGTTACTGTTGTCATGTTGTTATGATCCATCGTGTTGCCTGTGACTCATAAAGACCCCTATGTACAGCAGCTCTGAACCCTGCCCTGTCCTGAGCCAGTCTCACTAATTCCGACACACTAACCTTCATTGCCCCAGTCATCATATCAATCTGTCTCACCTGGGGTCTTCCTCTCCTGTGCAGTCCCTCCACCTTCTGAGCATGATGTCCTTCTCCAAGACCAGTCTCTCCTGGCCACATGCCCAAAGTATGTGAGATGGAGCTTCAAAATCCTAACCTCCACGGAGAAACTTAGTTTCACCCTCTCCAAGACAGACTTATTTGTTTTCTTGGTGGTCCATGGTACCTTCAAGACTCTTCTCCAGCATTATAATTTGAAGACATTGACTCTTCTCCTGTCAGTTCTTGTCTAACTCTCTGAAGGAAACAAGTAATTGCGAAGACCATGGCCTGTGTTAGGCTTGCCTTAGTCTCTAGACTAACATTGTTGCTTTTCAGCACTCTTGAGAGGTCCCTGACAGCAGATTTAGCTCTGACTTGTAGTGACCTCACCTATATACAACAGAATAAAGCTTTATACCATCCTCAAAATATTTATAGTGCATAAACCTACTCTAGCACCCACCATGTTGATCCATCTCATTGACGGTCTTCCTCTCTCTGACCCTCTATTTTTTCGAAGCATGATTTCCCACCTCAGGCACTGGTCCCTCCCATTAACATGTCATAAGATGAAGTCTGACCTTCTTTGCTTCAAAGGAGCACTCTAGCTGTTCTTCTATATGATGACCAGCATCATCCCATAGAAATTAAATGTAGTCTTTATAAAGATAAAAGTATTAAAATAATACATTAGAGTGAACCATGGTTAAATTTGTAAGGACAGTGTAAACCAGCTGTAAGAAGAATTAGAATTTTGTCATTCTAGAATCCTGGGACATTTTCTTCCCAGAGAGTGTAGCCATATGGGACCTTGATCTTGGCTAACTATCACAGGTGTTACTTGCAGTAACACAACAAGGAAAAGAAGCCATAATTCTGCAAGCTCGCCACTAGTGTTTCTATGTTCCTTAATGTGATGTGTGTGTGTATGTGCCTGGTGGATGGACATTTTGTCACGCATAGCAAAGGTGTTACAAATAAAGAGAATAGCTGAGAATGAGGAGTAGAAGAGGCAGAAACACAGGTTTTATTTGGCTGTGAAATAATATAAGCCATAGTCAATACAGTTGAAAATACGAAGAGAAAAAAATAGAAAGGAACAGTGTTTTGAAAAGTCAGATATCTCATGACAATAAGAGATTTGGAAAATATAAGTGCAATTTGCAATCACAGCAACAGAGACATCAGAAGTGCACAGAGAGAGATTGTCTATAAAACAGAGTAGAACTCTCTGATTAACAGCCAGCCTTTCAGTTCCAAGCCAACTATTTCAACCACTGGGTACTATAGGGCATCTTTAGATACATCTAAAACCAAAGCCACTGCCTTCAAGTCAATTCTGATTGAAGGCCACCTTGCACTGAGGTTCTTGAGCTGTAAATCTTTATTAGAGGGGACTGTCTTTTCTTTTTCCTACAGAGTGACTGGTGGATTCAAAATGCGGGCATTTCAGTTAGTAGTCCAATGCTATGCCTCTCAAACTTCATTCAGATATATCTTGTTGCATGCCGTCCAGTCAGAATGGACTCATAGCTAACCCGCCAGGGGGTTTTCAGAGGCAGTAAATTTCCATGAGCAGACAGTGGATTCAGATGATGTGCCTGTGGAATTGCAGTGCAGTTCCTTACCACTAGGCCATCAGAGCCCCGGTCAGATATATCTGTTAATATTGTTGTTAGAAGGGAGTTAAATGTGAAAGATCATAGTCAGTAGTGAGTTTTGTTGCTAACATGAAAGCCAAAAGTCTCCACTGGTTCAAATCTACCAGCAGATCTGAGGGAAAAAGATTAAGAGTCTCTTCTCATTATGATTTACAGCCTCAGAAAACTAGTAGAGGATAATTATGAGTTGGAAGCACATTGACAGTAGTGAGTGAATTTGAATGAGCGCATATTTTATTTTCTATAGTCTGTTTGGCTTAATGGTAAAGAGTTGTGCTGCCAACCCAAAGGCTCATGGTTGGAATCCACCAAGTAATCCATGGAAGGAAGATGGGCAATCTCCTCCTACGTGATTTACTGCTTCTCAAAACCCACTAGAGAGTAATTAAGAATCCACTCTGATTAGACCGTATATGACAACATTAGTCAAATTAGTGTATACTTTAAATACCCATTGATGCAAGTACTAATGGGAGTGCTTTTATTCTTTTGTCACAGAATCTAGCTTCACACGAGTCCACACAAGACAGTGGCCTTGCTTAAGAGGGAAATGGATAGATAGGAAGACTTGAAAATTAGTTACTTACTAGTTTGAAATTACTCTAAGTGCTCCACAGGTTATTGATATATTACATAAAATATTTTCTATTTAAAGCAGATTGAATATACTCTCCTTTGCTTTTATAACTTTTCCTTCTCCTTTTTGTTTTAATGGAAAATGTAGGTTAACATTGGTCATTTTCACAGAAAACTATTTTATTAAGTCAGTTGGTAGTAAATGTGTGTTGCTTAACACCAAGTGGATGTTATCTTCATATTTTTAAACCAATGTCATTCTAAAACACATAAACCCATGTGCAAGTTGAGGCATGGTACAAAATTCTTTTTTCTCTTTTTCTGTTTTAATTCAAAAGATGGAATTATTTTCCCTTTAAACATACACAAATAATATCTCCTTTAGGAGAATATATTCAATTGAAAATATACAGCATAAACAGCATGTCAGTGGAAGCAATAAAATTAATTATTGCTGCTATTGTGTACCATTAAGTTGGAACAGACTCATAGCTGACCCCCCCAGGGGTTTTCAGAGGCTGAAAAGATTGCCCATCTTTCCCCTGAGGAGTGGCTGGTGGGTTCAGATCATATGCCTTTGGGTTGTCAGTGCAACTCTTTACACACTAGGTCACCAGAATACTCCAATCAAATTAGTAGCAAACAAAATTTTCCCCAGTTACTACTTTATGTACTCTACAGAGAAAAAGTAGGAACATACTGATACTTACTTATCTTATTAACTAACTTTGTAGATTAAGTTGCTATAAAATTTAACACCATATTTTGACTATGATACTGTTTTCATGAGTTTTTTTTCCCAAAGATCGATGAATATGATAAACTTACTTGCAAAGTTAAAAAATACACTCCAGAAAGTTGTATAATATATATTGCTTGATGTATACATATATTACAATGTTTATTTTATATTAAATATGCAATGGACACAAATGAAATCATCCATATTGATATAAAAGTTAACAAACTCAGACATTTATAAATGATAAAATAAATTTCTATTAGTGTGGAAAGGGGAGAAAGTATCGAAGGAAGAATAAATAAAGCAAGGGTTTATCCTTTTGTTGTCGGAGAAATTTTTGTGGAATGAGTGATAATGCTGACGAGACACACATTTTAAAGTATCAATAATAATTATATCAGACAAAGCTCTTACTGCATTTTTAACTTCATATGATTTCTTAATTTTTTTATATACTTATCACATATCAAAGAATTGTTAATACTTCAGTAGAGTCACTTTCTATAAAAGAACACATGCATAGGAAAATTGCTTAATAGATACTTATAAGAACAATTTATTCAGTAATTTTCAAATTCTCATAGCCTGAATAATAGATGAGAAAAAAAGAACATGAAAGATCATAGAATCAGAATGAATGAAGGCAATGTACAATGTAAAGTAAGTGCAAAATGGAATTACGGAGATGATGTTTTCTTATTGCTGTGGTCATTAAAATAAGGAAACTCTTAGAATTATAATGTACTCACATTAAATACCCTCCATGTTGAGACATTTCTAGTTCTATAAAAGACATTTCACATTTAAGCTAGACTAAGAAAATAATTTCTTTCTATACAAAGTGCCTGGTATATGTTACATATAATGATTTCTTTTCCTTTTTCAAGATGATTTTTATTTTCTTTCTCAGAGATCCTAAATAAGTCATGGTGGTGCTTGAATTTCAATGGCTTTTAAATTTGGGAATGTTCAGATGTATGTTAGTAATCTTCCTGTTCACCCCACTCAACAACCGGCTCATCATTCATGCGCAGGATGAGGTAAGAAAGAAGCTGGAAGAGATTCTGCCAGAGTAAGAGAGAGACATAAAAGGAGAGGCCGCTTACATCTACCTCACAGCGCTCGCCCGCAAAGGCGACATCGCAGAAGCACTGGAACTTGTTGAGTAAGTTCTGGCACCGGCCTCCATGGAAGCACGGATCAGAGGCACACTCATCAATGTCCTGTTCACACCTTAAAAATAAACAGAAACAGCAGAAATCTGGCACCCTGTGGAACAAATTGGCTGTAAAATAGGGAGAGAGAAAAATTTGCCTACATCTACCCAGAAGAATGTACTCATATCTATCCAATGCCACAGAATCTATACATATGTAATAGTGTGAACCGTGATCCTTAAACACATTTAAAAAAAAAAGTCTTAATGGGATAATTTGGAAACACCTACAATATTAGTTGGAATTAGAAAATAGGTGTAAATATTTAGAAAAAAAAACCCAAACAAACCCAAAACAGGCTGTGCATATTCCGGTTTCTCCCTTAAGAGCATTAGTGAGCTTGCCACCCTATAAAAGTTCAGTTTATTAGAGGCACATGGGAATCAGGAGAATTGAGAATGAGCTGGTTATTGTAAACTACCGTGGGCAGAATAGACGTGGTACAATCTAACTAGCAGGCTTCTGATGCATTGCCTTCAGGCCCACCAAATACAGAAAGAGTTAGTTTCACTATTTTTGAAGAATCTGAAATATGTTACTTTATAATTTTATTTTTTAATAAAAATGACAAGCAGAAAATTAAAATTGTTAACTTGCCAGTGAATTCTAAAAGCTAAACATAGTATTTGAAAGTTCAAGTAGAATTACTTTCAAAAGTGAACTTTCCCAAAATAACCAACATTAATTCCAACATATAGAAGTTTTATTCTTTCTTGAGACACTTTGCATTTGTTGTCTTGTATTTCTACCAGCAACTTATTTTCTGTATACTTATTGAGTACATAAGCACTCATTAGGTCAATAGATAGTTATCTATTTAGTACCCACCAAGTACCAAGGAAGGAGCTTTGTGGCAATGTGCATTATAAGTTGTATGACTAGCCAAATGATCTGTGGCTCAGATCCACCAGCTGCTCCAAAGGAAAGAGTTGGGTTGTCTCCTCTTGTAAAAATATACAACCAGAAAAAACTCAATGGAGGTTTGCTATGAGTCAAGGTTGACCTGACAAGAGTCAAGGTTGACCTGACAACAGTGGATTTGGCTTTGGTTTTATGTGCCAAGAATCACTCAGGATTATTTACACTCTAAGAGAACAAACAAATCTGTCCTGGAGAGGGTGAAACCAGGCTTCTTCTTGGAGGATTTTCAAGCTTTGTCTCATGTACATTGGGCTTGTTGCCAGGAAGAACCAGTCCTTGGAGAATGACATCATGCTTGGAAGCGTGGAGGGACAGTGCAAGAGAGGAAGACCCTGGATAAAATGGCTTGATTCAGTGCCTGGAGTAATGAGGGTAGGTGTGTCAGAGACAGTACGGTTGGCTCAGCATACAGCAAGGTTCAGAGCTGTTGTACATAGGGTCACTATGAGTCGCAAGTGCCTTGACAGCACATAATAATAACAGCATTAACTTAAAGGTCAATGGTTAGAACCCTTCCAGTGGCATCAAGAATGAAAGGTGTGGTGATCTAATTGTTGTTGTGTGCCATTACTTAGATTCTGACCCACAGAACTCTACAGGTCATAGGACAAAGTAGAATTACCTGATAGGGCTTTTAAGATTGTAAATATTTGGGGAAGTCAACTACCATGTCTTTCTCCTAAGGAGCAGGTGTTGAATTTTAACAGCTTTCCTCCAAATTCATAGCTAAAAGCTTGACCAATGTGCCTTCAGGGCTTCCTCTGTAAATCCAATAGTCAAGAAAATGCTGTTAAGTAGTTCTAGTCTGTAACATGTGGGATCATCATGGATCAGAACAGACTAAATGACAGTGGAGTTCGTTAGTTTTCTGTCAAACTCTCTACTACATCCTGGGACAGAACCATAACTAAAGCATCCATTTCATTTGAGAAATGTCTAAAAAATCTCAACTCTGAGAATTGCTGAAAGCAGCTTACTGTGTTAAAATCTGATGTAAACAACATTTAAAAAAAAAAATTCCCCTACCCACTCCTTCTACCTCAAAAACAGTAAAATTTATATCCATGGGCCATAAACTAATGATGAGGTTGGAAATGGAAGGGTGGTGGGGACAAGGTCAGCCCGTGGTATAAAGAAAAGACTAATTTCTTCCAAGAAAAACAACCTCTTATCCTTCTAGATACCATGAATAGCTGAGACATTTTGTTTGCCTTTTTTGGCTTAGGCTTCTGGGCTGGGAGGAGATACCTCTGATTATATCTGCGCAAATTTGACAACACTCAGAAGCCTGTCTGATGAGCACTCTGTCCTCGGTGGCCAGAGTATACGCACCATCCATCATTTAAAACCTGCCAGAATGACACTGGGAAGTTGGAGGTTTAACCGGGCAGGAGAGAAGGCAATTTGTTAAGAGAACAGTGTTTCATCATCTGTTAACATGATGGAGGTCACATTCCACCAGGCCTTGGGAGACTGCCAGGGTTTCATGTTCATCTTCTAACTACGTTGTTTCTTTCAAACTCAATAGTGTTCACACATCCACATTGACTGTAGACACCACTGTGGCTTTTATTAGAGATTAGATTAGTAGGTAGAAAGTCAAAATAAATAAACCCATTTGCAGCCAGTGAGACTATTTATGACAATTAAAGACTTAAAAATTGTAGTATCTGAACATGCATTCACTGATTCAGAAACCTGTTTGTAACAGAGGATTTTACCTAGAAGAAAATTTTCCGGGAGAAGAAGGAAATTGTTGAGCTTCCTTTTTCACTATGGTACACATCAACAATTTTAAGTTAAATGCTATATATTTTTTAAAAATGAATTAATGTTGAAGGAAAAGGTGAATAGTTGTTATTAATAAGGACACTGCATAAATAAAGCAAACAAAAACAACTCATTGCTATCAAATTAGAATCCATTCTCAGCTGGATTGCCTACAGATTTTCAAAAGCTGTTTATCTCATAAGAGATTACCTATCTTTCTCCCATGGAACAGCTGGTAGATTTGAACCACTTGCCTTTGGGTTGGCAGCACACATGATAACCCAGAGATCTTTATTGCAAAGAAAAATATCTAAGGTTCTAGATTAATCCCATGCATTATGTTGTTATTGAACAGAAAATCTGGTACTGAGCAAAGAGGCAGCCAGCTCTTAAAGGAAGTGAAGCAGTCGTTCAAAATTCACTGCTGTGGTTAAGTGCCACTGGGCCAATTCCAACTCCTAGCAACCCCATGTGACAGAGCAGAACAACCTCACAGAGTTTTCTAGGCTGCATTCTAGGCAAGAGTAGATGATGAGGTCTTTCTCCTGCTGAGTCACTGGCTGCATTCTGACCACCAAGCTTTTGACAGGCCGCCAAGATTTTAACTACTCCATCACCAGAGTTTCTTGTTCAAAATTTCAACTTAAATTCATTTTGATCAAGGCAGAATAGTCTCGTAGCTGACTTTCCACTGGGTTTCTGACACTAAAAACCATGTGGGAAGAGATTGCCCATCTTTCTCAATTAGTGTGACTGGCGGATTTGAAACCGCAAAGGGGCACAGCCTTTGAGTTAGCGGTGAAATTCTCCATACTTAGGACAAGAAAATATGTGCAAGAATTATGAGGATTCTGGAGTTAGAAACCAAATTAATAGTCTCTGGGTTAATAGTGCAAAAGACAGTAAGCTGGTGAAATGCAAGGAGGAGTGGGACGTAAGAAGATTCCCTCTCATTATGTATCTACTAGGGGTGCCTATGCCACATGTTGCCAGCCACTGAAGGAAGGTAAGGACTAGATTAGCCATTGAAAGTTACCAGTTACCATGAAGGCAATTCTTATTGGAGGTCCAAGAGATGAAATGCCTTCCATGGGAACTTTTTCAAGGATGTGGCCTTTGGGAAACCAATTGTGAGACATTTCATCGCTGGCAACTCTGGGTGGGTGCAAATCATCACATTAGTCAAGTACTTAACCATCTGCATTACCCAATGAACACTTAATGTTAGAAAGGTAAAATACAAGTATGCCCTGGATAGTCTATTATTTATCAAAATCTGGAAAAGATTTATATCTGAGAGATGTCAAAATGGTCAGCTTAAGAAAAGAAAATTCAAACCATACAATTATGGTCACAGAGAGCAAATCTATTAACTAGATTTTAAGGGAAAAATAATTTAGTCGCCCTTCCTTTGTCAAATCTGTTAGATTTTAATGTGTTAAAGGTAGGAAGCTGGGCTAGACTTCAGTGTATCTCCTGTATAGTATACAGATGGAGGGGCAAAGATTCATCCTTAAAGCCATATCAGCCCATCCAGATAGATGAGCAGAGGTTCTGAAAGCAGTTAATGCTTAGCACAGGCTTGCCTAAGCACCTAACCTGTCATTCAACCTTTCAACCTCAGTGTACATATATGTAAAATGAACATCTTTTTTTCATAATTCTAAGAATTAGAATATTTTTAAGTACATTAGCACAGTGCTCAGGAAATGGTTAACACTTCGTTGTACATTTATATACCCTAAAGTTTCCCACACTGAGTCATTTTGAAGACCTAGATTCCTTTGAGCATCTTGTGAAAGCTATGGAGCTTTTTTACCTGTCATTCCACCCAGTCAGTCAAATATGCACCCAAGTTTGCCTGTATTTTTAGCATGTCACAAACTATCAAAGAGCATTGACTGACCAATGTTAAAATACCTCTGCTACTTGAGGAAGAGTTGAAAGGTAGAATCCTTTGGAAAGGATGCTTATATTTCAGTATGTTGTCAGAAGGGACCAGTACTTTGAAAAAGACATCACACTGGGCAAAGAGTAAGGTCAGAGAAAGAGAGAAAAACCCTCAACAAGATACACTGACACAGTAATTACAACAAAGGGCTTGAACATATCTGAGATCATGAGAACAATGCAGGATAGGGTGAGGTTCAGATCTGTTGTGCACTTGGTTGCTTTGAGTTTTGTTTGACTCAGCACACACCAGGTAACCCTGAGAGATAATCCTTCAAGTGTATTTTGTCTTAATTCAAAGATACTGATATATATATATATATATATATATATATATATATATATATCAAGTATTAGAGTTAGTGGGGAAAGAAACATGAATCAGGAGGCATTCATTAAGAAAGAACAATATAAAAAAAGGAAAGAAAACTATAACATTATTCATTATGTGGTAGCCTAGTGGTAAGGAACTATACTGCCAACCCCAAGACATGTGGTTCAATCCTGCAGTGGGTCTATGGGAAAAGATGGGCATATTCTCTTGTGATTTACAGCCTCTGAAAACCTACTAGAGGGCCAGCTATGAATTAGTTCTGACGTGAAGGAACATAATAATAACAACATTTGAAATCTTGGCTAAGAAAATGTTGATTACTTGGACCTATCCTGTAATTTTTCTTCTTTTTTTATTGTTTGTGTTTTAAGCACCACCTCAGCATAGGTTTTCTTATAGTCATTGAGATGATAAATTAGAGGATGACGTGAACCTGGAGTAACCCTCTTGTTGTTTAACTCTGACTTCTCTCCCGTAAAGTTCTAATGCAACTCACCCGTCTCCAGTAAAACCTGGCCGGCACATACATTTGAATTCACCCTGGAACTCTGTGCAGTTGCCTCCATTGTAGCACGTAAGATTTGTCTTCTCATTCCCACAGTCTGCCGAGGGTAATCTGGCATGTCAGGAGAGACAAGAGTAATAGCCACAGCTGTTCATCTTGTTCATTTCATTCAAGAAATGTTTGGAGTTTGTTTTTTAAGTTCATACATGTAGACAATGCCAAACCAATTAAGAACTCGGGCTGGCTGGGCTACAAATGCTTAATTGGGCTGCATGACACAGGAATCACTTTCTCCAGTAAAAAGTCCCTGCTGCAGGGTGCTGTGAGAAACATGGCGATTCATCTTCCATTTCCACACAGTTTTTGCTCGTGAGATAAGATCTATGCCATGGGGTGGCAGTAAATTTAAGGCTGGAAAGGAGTTTGCACTAGCTAGATATGCTGCTGCTTTGCTAATAAATCAACAAAGACCACAGGAAAATTACATCTCTATACAGGCCAGGAAAGCAAGGCCAGCACTCTGGACCCAAGCACTCATGTGATTTCTCTGTTGACTTTCAGAGCTGAACTCCAGTTGCCCTGCCAAGACTTGCTGCTCCCTATCTAATAATTCATAGCTCAGCAGAATGCAAGCCAAATGTTGTTCAGGACATTTGTACGTAGCACTCAATGGTAACATCTGTGGATTCAGCCTATGACTCTCTTGTATAACAATGAAGGTGTATGTGCTAAGGATCCCTTACACAAGAGACAGAACAATTGTTACAAGTTAAACAGACAATGAAGAGACAGAGGTTAACCAAGATATTGAGAGTGTTGATCAAGCCTTTCATACTATTATGCATGTGCATGGTATGGGCTATATAATCAGTATTTGAGAGATATTAGATGTATTGGATTTTGCTCTGTGGTATATGTTCCAGCTACTACCAGACTTGGTGATGGTAAGTGTGTCTCTTCCCACAGGAGTTAATCAACTCTGCTTAAAAGAGAAAATATCTTAAGGACTTTTCAGAAAAAGCCTCAAATGTCAACCAGCTTTGAAAGAGGTCAATTAGCAATGCAAATGTGAGGTTTTCTACACAGTCTGAGGTTTAGTAAACAGTTTTTGAAACTCATTAGAAGGTACTTTTGAGAAGGTTGGTTTTTGAGAATTTGACTTTGATGAATTAGGCTGAAAAATTACCTACAGAACAAGTTCCTTCTATGGAATATATGTTTACTTAGTCAAAGTCACTATGGTGACTATTGGTTTAAATCTTGATTTTCTCTTATTTAATCAGGTAGTACATCTGTTGGTGAATGAATTGGTTAACTCAGGGAGTAAACTTTAACTGATATGCCAGGCCTAGTACCAGATATCCTTCCTTACCTTGATAGGCTCTGAATAACAGTTATGTGCAATAGAGATACGTAAACTCTTTTCTAGGCTTGACCACACCTTTTTTTGTTAGAAAATTTACCCACATAAGGAACCACTTCCGACTTAGTGTAAAGAGTACAGAATACTGACCTGTTTCACTTGTTTTCTGTCAAAGTCCCGGAATTTATTATTTGTTAATAACGGATTAATCTCCCTATAGTACTTTCAGTGTTTTGTAAACAGTATAAAACAAGAAAAAATAACAACTGTGGAAATATGGAAGCATTGTGGCTTAGAAAAAAAGAATTCATTTTGCCTCTGTAAGTAACATAAAATGGGAGTGATTATTAGAACTAAAGTGGTGTTTTTCAGTTTTTGGAGAAACTATGAAAGTCTTTGAAAAATGGATAAAATCGATCACTGGGTATTCTTTTGATAGAATGCTCTGTAGGGGATCCTCTGAGATTATCAGATTGTGTAGGGGTACATACCTCAGATTTCCTTTGCTAAGCTATCTTTCAACTTTATATGTTGAAAACTTGTGCATGTTGTTGTTATTGTGCCTAGAAATGAAATTTAATTTTTCTATAATAGTAAGAATTGATTTCCATATTGTTGAAAAGATGGTCCAAACTGTTAACTTTATGACCCTGTAGGCTATGAAATATTTCTCATATATTTGAAAATCCATTTTCTCATTCCTATTCTTTATTTCCATTTGGATTAACTTTTGATCTTACTGACCTTCACTACTTAATGAGTTTAACAAAATCTTCAATTCCCTTACTCTGTTTTTATGCAAGACTTATCATTTTTGTTTTTGAAATTATACTTTAATGTCATCTTTTGAAAATTTTACTATATCTACCTGAGCTCTGGTGACCTAGTGACAAGAAATTGCACTGCAATCCCAAAGGCACTTGGTTCGAGGTCACCAGCTGCTCTGTGGGAGAAAGATGGGCAATCTCCTCCTGTGCAATTAACTGCCTCTGAAAACCTGCCAGCCGTGTCAACTATGGGTCGCTTCTGACTCAACTGTACACAACAACAACAACAACACCAGTCTTAAATAACCCAAGCATCATTTAGAAGCAGAAATCATGCCTTTTCTTAGAATATTAATGTTTCATTATTTTAATCTCTTGGTAATCCCCTTCCAGACATGAAAATTTTGAGATTGTGGGACTGTACTGTAGTTCATGAGACATAATTGAATAAAGATCACTGAGAAAACATTTTGTTTAGAAATCTCAAAAGACACCCATTCTTACATTTACATCCCAGTTAATGAGATCTTTTGTGTACATGACCAATTGTAATCAAACTGACCAACGCAGTCCCCATTCGCCACGGCCTGTGTCTGTATACCTTGAAGAGAGAGCTTTTCAATTAGACAAAGAAAATATAGAGCATAGTTCTAAAGTCCAAGCTTCATATAGATTTAAGCTCACCTGCAAAATTTTCCTGTAAAATTTCTCAAGCAGAGGCAAGAGTACCCATTGGTGTCACTGATGCAGGTGGCCCCATTTGCACATTGATGACTTTGGCAATTGTCTATCTCCACTTCACACTTCACACCTGTGTATCCAGGCTCACAATTGCAGTGGTAGGCTGCAATTCTGTCAGAACAGTTACCATGGATACAGGGGTTTGAAAAGCATTCATCAATGTTGAGTTCACAGTGTGCCCCTGACCATCCCAAGGGACAAGTGCAAAGATAGGAGCTGTAGATATCTTCACAATTTCCACCATGCAAACAGGGGTTGGAGTTGCAGGCATTTAGCTCCAAACAGCCAGTAACCACTGGATTTGTCGAGATTTTGAGAAACTGCTCTTTCTGAGGTTTATTAATGAAACCATGAACATTTGCAGAGTAAGAGAGATAAAGACCACTGATTTCTATTGTACTTAAACATCCTTGCAAGCCATTTGTCTTGTCCAAAGTTTGATAACCAACATAAATGTCTGTATTAACCTTCAAAAAGTTGAGGTTTCCAGTAGCAACTGCACTCGTCACAAGCGGGGTTTGATTGTCCACTTGCATTTGCCACCTGGAGGATTGGGCCAGTGGGTCTGTCATGGAAAGGGTTACTTGGTGCCATATGTCATCATTTACTGGCTGCAAACTTGTCAGACTCAGGATATAAAAACTGTTGCCACTTTGCAACTGAAATAAAAATCTGGAATCTTGTATACTAATATTAAGAAATTCAGGCTCTTTCTCTGCACTCAGTATTAGCACATTTGCGTCCCTCGTTCTAAAACCCAGTGTGATGTTGGTGAGTTCTCTGGTAATCTTCCCATTGCTTCGGAATAATATTCCACTGCTTTGTCCATTAAAAGCAGCATTTGCAATACCTAGAGAGAAGGTAATACCAATCAGCAAACTTATCACAACTCTTAATAATTGCTTTTATTTAAAGTAATAGCCATGCTAATTACTGTAATGTGCATGTTAAGCACTGTGGTGGTTGTTAGGTATTGTCTCGTCAGTTCCGCTTTACGGCAATCCTACGTACAACAGCCTAAACTCCGCCAGATAATGTGAATACTCTGCTCAGAGTTCTAACACCTGGGAAATTGTGTTTAGTTTTCCTAAAGGTGTGCAGGGGAAAACTCAAGCTTGAGGGGAAATAGCAATAAGAGTCTGGTTGGTTGTGAATTGATTCTGACTCATGGTGACGTCTTGTGTGTCCAAGCAGAACTGTGCTTCACGGAGAGAGAAATGGAGTGCTTCCAGTATGACATCTCTAGGTGAGACTGAACCATCAACTTTCCAGAAAGCAGCTAAGCTTATTAACTGGTTGCACCACACAGGATACAGAAATAGTTACACCAAGTATTGAGTGTCAAATGTACTTTACTGTTTATGTGTGAGGTCATATGATCACAACAAAGAAATCTACAAAGCAGGCATTATTGTCCTTATTTTACACATGAAGACATTTTAGATTATTGAGCTTTATGAAAAGGCCTGAAGGCTAGATTAATAAATGCCAGGGTCCTAGCACAATAACACTGCAGTCCCAAAAATAAGGTGAAGAAAAGCTGATTAGTAATTGGTTGGCTCTTGGTTCAGAAATCAGAGTTAAATGATCTAAGTTTGATGAAAACTTTCAGTTTCTACCCAGACTTCCAAGGGCAAGATGTGGCATGAGACCTACATGTTTTGTCTTAAACTCATGTTAGGAAGAACAGGAATAATTTTCTTCAATTTTTATTTTTTTGTCTTTTTTGGTCTCTATTCTTATTCTGTATTTCTCCCTGGAATAGACAACAAAACAAAACAAAACAAAAAACCAAAATCAAACAAACAAAACCAACCCCCAAAACAAAACAACAAACAAACCCTCAAAATTATTACCTTCAAACAGGAATCAACTCTGAGCTAAGCTGACCACGATTGAGCCTTTGATTCTATAAATCTCTGTAGGATTCTGCCCATCTTTTCCCTACAACATGGCTAGTGGATCCAAACCATCAGAGAGATGCAGCCTTTGAGCTAGCAGTACAACTCCGTACAGACTGCACCATCAGCGGTCCCAGAACAACTAGTATACCCAGCTAAGTAGGATGGATGATAAGCGTGAATTCAACCTACATTCAAACCCTCGAGGAACCACCTGGCAATGGAATGTGGGAGGACAAGGGCCGAGTTCACACCAGTGGACGTCCTCACAGGCTTTGCCAGCTGTGTTGGGAGGGCAGGAGCAGGAGAAATCATCCCACATGGAGTAGCAGACACCTCCGTTGTGACAGGGATTGGACTGAGCAGAAGAAAAATCAGAGATGTAAAAATACTCACTGAAAACTACATGAAAACACTAAGGGCAAGATATTTTTAAGTGCCAGTTTCTTTACATCTTTATATTTTAGAAATAAATAGAAGAATAAAACATTGCACCTCTTATTGCCAACTCATTTCTAAAAGTGAGGGGGGGGAGAGAAGAAGAGAGAGAGAATGTGTAAAATCTACGTTCTACTACTACAGAGGGAGCTCTGGTGGCTTTGGGATAAGAAGCTTCACTACAAACCCAAAGGCATATGGTTCGAATCCACCAATTGCCCCACGGGAGAAGGATGGACAGTCTCCTTCTGTGTGATTTACTGTCTCTGAAAACACTTGGGGGAATCAGCTATAGGTCACTTCTGACTCAGTGGTACACATCAACAACAACAAAGATTTTGAAAACAAGAGCAATATTTTCCATAACTGGCAAATTCAAAACTCTCTGCTGTCGAGTTGGCTTCTACTCATACTGACTTCTGGAGACTGTTGATCATAATAGAGGAGACTGCGCCCTCCCTTTCTTGGGGACACTGGTATGTTCCAACCACTGGGCTCCCAGGCTTTTAGGTAGCAGTGCAATATTCTGTGGACTACACCACCTAAGATCCTATTGAAATACAACCGTGCACTTTTACACTTCAATTCTCATTTAAGGTCGGTATTATTAGTTCTAATTTTATAACTTAGAAATATTGAGGTCTTTCTATGTAAAATTTTAGAAAGAAAGCAAATAAGCTGGATACCTAGAACTCAATCTTGGGACTCAATTTAGTGGCACCCCTAAATCTTTCCCTTTGCTTGGTCTCCTCTAAATAAGAAATATACTATTATTCTTTGAGTTCTCACATTACTTATGAAGTAAGTATTCAAAACAAATATATTTACAAATGACTCACAGAAAGGCCAAACTAAATATTTCTTTCCCACTGTTTACTGTGCAATTCACACAGTAGCGTGACATACCTAAACTTAATTTCTTTTGTCTGCAAATAATGTGAAGAGACAAAAATAATGCTTACTTCACACAGTAGTCTTTGAACAGAATTAAATTATTTGTGTAAAACAGTGCTTGTCACATTGGAAATACTCCCATAATACTACAGTGATTAATTCTGTAAATTAAGCAACAAGCAAAATGAATGGCAATAGTTGGAGCTCAACTGATGTTCCGTTATAAGTGTGTATACATGTGTGTGTGTGTGTGTGTGTGTGTGTGTGTGTGTGTGTGTGTGTGGTGTGTATGTTTTCCTTTAGAAGGTCATGCAAAACTGGCAAGTTTATCTATTTAAGTAGGTTTTGGGAGAGACCTAAATATGTAAAGTAAAATACGGAATCGTGGAAAATTCTATTTCAGAGGATGTCAACAAATTTAAGAAAGCTATTGGTCAGATTAATTTTTCTATTTGGCTTAGTGGTTATTGTGTGCTGTCTTTTGTCTTTTTGGAACCAATTCATAGCTGACTCTCCAGTGGGTTTTCATGTGCACTAAATTGCTTTGGAGAAAATTGCCCATCCTTCTCTACTTGGTAGGGTCAAACTGCATGCCTTTGGGATTGCAGCACAGTTTTTTTTTTACCATTAGATCACCAGAGCTCAGTAGAAGTATATTAAACAGAAAGAGAGACATTTAAAGAAGCCCTGAATAAGCAAAACATTCCTTAAAAATGGAAAAAAAGGTAGGAGGCATCTCACTCCCTGATTTAAAATCCTACTACACTGCCATGGTGGTTCAGACAGCATGGTACTGGTACAATGACAGACACATATATCAATGGAATAGAATTGAGAACCTGGAAGTCAGCCCATCTACCTATGGTAAACTGATTTTTGACAAGAAGATGAAATAGGGCAAGTGGGGAAATGACAGTCTTTTTAACAAATGGTGTTGGCAAAATAGGAAAAATATCTGCAGAAGACTCAAGCAAGATCCACACCTCACTTCATATACAAAAACCAGCTCAAGGTGAATCATGGATCTAGGACTAAAATCAAGGACTACAAACTTCATTAAAGAAAAGCTTGGGTGAACTCTATTAGGTCTATTTCACAACATAAACAGTCTTCCAAGTATCCTGAAACATCTACAACCAGGAGAAGATAAAATAGATAAATGGGACTAAGAATCAAATCCCTATGCACATCGAAATACTTCTCCAACAGGGTAAAATGGGAAGCCACAAACTGCTAATGACATGTCAGATAAGGGACTTATATCTAGAATTTATAAAATGCTTGAGCACCTCAACAAGATAAAGTAAATAATCCAATTGAAAAATGGGCACAGGATATGAACAGACACTTCACCAAAGAAGACATTCAGATGGCCAACAAGCACATGAAGAAATGTTCAAAATCCCTAGCTCTAAGAGAGATGCAAATCAAAACAACTATGAGATATCATCTCACCCTAGTCAGAATAGCAAAATTTAACAGAACAGCAAGCAACAAATGCTGGCAAGGTTGTGGAGAAACTGGAACCCTTATTCACTGTTGGTGGGAGTGTAAAAATGGTGCAACCACTGTGGAAAATAGTGTGGCGCTTTCTCAAAAAGTTGCAAATAGAGGTACCATTTGATGCAGCAGTTCCACTACTGGGAATATACCCTAAAGAGACCATAGATATATGCACACCCATGTTTATCGCAGCTTTATTAACAATAGCAAGGAGTTGGAAAGTGCCCATCAACAAACGAATGAATAGAGAAGCTGTAGTATATTCACACAATGGAATACTATGCTGCATTGAAAAACAAGGGACCCATGGGTGACCCTGAAGGACATTATGCTGAGTGAAATAGAAATATCTCAGTCACAAAAAGACAAATACTGCATGGTGCCACTGTTGTAGAATGGAACTGACATCAGGGTTGGGGTAAGACTGAGAAAAAGTGGATACATTACATATACTGCATTGAAACAGATGAGGGAGAGAACAATTTAAAAGTGATATATGATAGGGTATTATGTTTATCACAAGAGTCCAGAATTAAGGTTGCGTAATGGATTGTACTTGGGGCAGTGGTGGGAAGGGGAGGTGCAGGAGGATTGTATACTAATGAAAGAATTTTTCTTTTACTTTTCAAAGAGAGGAGTGAACTGCGGGTGGGGAGGGTGGAGGGCTGGACAGGGAGAAAAGTGCAACAATAAATGAATGGAAATCCAAAATCTCTGTAAATGCTCATTAAAATTAAGGAAATAAATAAATAAATAAAATAAGTTTAATGGCGAATTCTAAAAGTGCTAAATATGTTAAATTCCTAGGCTGCCACAGGGATTAAGAAAATATTGTTATTCCTTGAGTGCTGTACTATGATTGTTAAAGAGATCACAGATCTGGAGATGTCTTGTCTGGTTACTTACCAGACTGCTAAAAAGTTCAAGGCTATGCCTTTATCGTTACCCGCAAGTGAGTCAACCTCTGATTCATGAAGCCCCGGTGCACACTGAAACAAAACACTACCTTGCTCTGACTTTTCCTTTTGGTTAGCTGTGGATTGAAGTATAGTAACTAATAAAATTGTCGTTGACTGAATTTTGGAAGTAGATTCTCAGGCCTTTCTTCACAGCTTGTCTTAGTCTGAAAGCTACGCTTAATGACCTCTTCAGAATCATCAAAAAGCTCATTGTGTCAAGTTACAACCGATGCACTGCTGACCTATTATTGGGATTATTTGGCTGTAAATGGAATGGGAGGAGATTGCCCATTTGTCTGCAGAGGTGCTGCTTGTGGATTGTAATTGATAAAGGCATGATCTTTGTTCATCGGAGCACAAAAGCTTACCCTGACAGACAGGTACATTGATTAAGAATTAAATGTGAAATTCCCATGTTGAAGGAGAGAAGTCACTGAACCAACAATGATTCCATGATATTATGGAAATGTTAAGACCCTCAGTACTTCTTGAAAAATATTGACAGAGTGTTACTCTGTTATTGGCGTTTTCTTTACAAAAGAAAAGTGGGTTAGCAGCATCATCTTCATATACAAACAATAGTTTTAGTTAGTAGGTAATAAATAGTTTTAATAAAGCAAAATTTAGTGTATAGAAATAGCTAGTATGAATAAGCTTACCTTGCAGATGTTGTCTCCAGGGCAGCCTTTGGTCACATTGACAAGAATTGGCTTGTGCTTCGCAATGCTGGTTTCATTTGGGAAGAATTCGAGATTTTGGTTATTTAATCTTAAGTCCTGGATACAGCCTTTGAAGAACCCACCACTCACTTCAATCTTTTGCCTGTCAGGCAGGCCACCAATGTAGATGACATCTCCTCTTTGAGTGCTCCATTTAGGGGAAGAAAGAAATCCTAGGTGACGTGAAGACTGATAGAGTTCAATTTTATTTGGCTCGACTTTCAAAGATAATAAGTGGACATTTCCATCACTAAGAAGGAACGTTCCTACTAATTTGGGAGAACGTGGGGTCAGCACTGCTGGTTTGCCATGCTCGAGCCAGATGCGGATATATTGATAGGTGCTGTTTTCCAAAGCTAGAAGTAAGCCAGATGGTCGACGTGTCCGAACAAACATAGAAAGACTGAAGTTCTGTCCATAACTTTTGTCTAACTTAAAAGCAGCAAATCCAGTGGAGTCAGTGTGGCCAAATCTTCCTGCCACATACTCTTTCATATCAAAATAGAGGAAGAGAAACAAAGAAGAAACACTTTAAGACTCACAAGTAAGGAGGAGGAGAAGATGAAAATGACATATGTACTTTTATTATATTTAGGACATTTTTATTCAATATGTGAATTTAACCTCATTTTCTGCATTTCATTCTAAAAAACCACTGTTTCTATTGAATGCTAGTGTAGAAAGAAACTCATATTGCTTATATGATATCTTCATTCTACTTGGTATTGTTTCTGAACTTACCTGCTACAAAAGAGACAGAGAAAAAGCTCTACATAGATAAGCTTAACAACCCCTTCTTTACCTCCCCACAGAATTGTGCCTTGACAGTAGAATCTTATACACTACTGTACTTGACGAAGGTGAAAGAAATGTGAAAGACTAAATCAACCTGCAACATCCATATGCATACTGAGAGAGAGCTGTCATCTTTGCTTTTTGGAGATGTTATTGTTCATATACGCCGTCGAGTCACTTGCAACATATACCGAGCCTATGTATAACAGCCCTAAACTCTGCTCTGTCCTGTGCCAATCGCACCATCTCCGATACACCCATCCCAATTATCCCAATCACTGAATCAATCCACCTCATAGAGGGCCTTCCCCTCCTGTGCTGTCCCTCCACTCTACCAAGCCTGATGTCCCTTTCCAAGGACCGATCCCTCCTTACAACATGTCCAAAGTATGCCAGACAAAGCCTCAGGATTCTTGCCTCCAAAGAGCAGCCTGATTTAACCCTCTCTAGGACAAATCTGTTTGTTTTCTTAGCAGTCCATGGTACCCTCAATACTCTTCTCTATCACCACAGCTCAAAGGCATCAATTCTCCTTCTATCCTCCCTAGTCATTGTCCAGTTCTCTGACGCATCACAATTTTGGAGAGAGGCAGAAGAAAATGTGTCATCAAACGTATTTTCAATTTGGGAAGAACAGAAATCAAGAACTGGATTATCAAATCTTCGTCTGGGGTGATTATATATAATAATACTAATAATAAGGTAAAGAAATTAAACTTGGGAAGAGAGGAATGACAGAGAAGCCAAAAGAGATGGGAAACAGAGAAACTCAAGCACACAAAGTGGGGTGCTGAACTTTCCTAGAACTCCCTGTGATTCCATCAATGTGTATCATGTCAAGAAAATTCTTGTGATAGATAAAAATGATCTTTGACGTTGAAAGTGTTGATGATACAATATGAACAAAACAATAATCCCTGCCTTCATAGAATTTTCATTCAAATGGGTGGATATGGAGAACTACATAAAAACAAACCATATGTCAGAGATAATTGGGGTAGGTGTATCAGAGACAGTGAGACTGGCTCAGGGTAGGGCAGGCTTCAGAGCTACTGTGCATAGGGTTATCATGAATCACAGTCAACTCAACAGCATGTAACAACAACAATATATTGGAGATCTCTGGTGGCCTAGTGGTAGAAAGTGGCACTACAATCAGAAAGGGACATGGTTCAAATCTACCAGCTACTTGAGGGGAGAAGCATAGGCAATCTTTTCCTGTGCTATGTCCTGCCTCTGAAAACCTGCTGGAGAGTCATCTATGGGTTATTTTCGATTCAACTGGCACCCAGCAAAAACAAAACATGCCAGGTGGTGATATAAGATAAAACAGACAGAGAAAGCAGGGAATTCAGATGGATTTGTAATTTTAAATAGGGTAGAAAGTGAGGACTAAAAAAATGCCTTTAGTGTAAAGATCTCAAGAAGCAGAATTATTTCAGTAATTCAGGAAACAAATGGCAGGTCACTTAGAACAGAGGTAATGGTGAAGGAGGTGCTGAGACATGGTCAGAATTTGGCAATCTTTTGTAGTTAGAACCAACAGGATTTTCTGGGAGCAAGATCAGCTCCAGGATTTTTTAAACCCAAGAAAGTAAAAGTAGAATTTCTATTTGGAGAGATGGGAAAGATAAACTGGAGGGGAAGATTGTCAAGGTGGGAAGCAGAAGGGCACACTAAATCTGAAATTCCTATAAAATATCCAGGCAGTTTGTTATCAGTCACAACCAGGAAGCTGGCAGTTCAAATCCAACCAGCAATTCTATTTTAAAAAATGCCTGGAGATCTGCTTCTGCAAAGGTTTAGTTAAAAAAACTCTGTGGAACGTTTCTACTCTATTAAAAATTGGATCACCATGAGTTAGAATCAACTTGGCAGAAAATATATTTTTAAAAAGTTTAGATATTAAAGTGGAACTTCCAAATAGGTAAGTAGGCAAGCGAATATAGAAGTTGAAGGAACATGCTGTGAGCTTGCAATAATAATGTTGTATTTATCTGTTTATATGTGATGTGGTTGGTTGGTATGTGCTGTCAAGCCAGAACTGACTCGTAGCTGACCTTACAGTGGTATAGGTGGTAGTTAAAGGCAAAAGGCTCTATGGAATTACCAAGAAAATGAATCCATATAAAGGAAGGGAGAGGTCCAAGAACTGAACACACAATTATCAGGCATTTGGAAATAAAAGAGAACAGCCAATGGCATGAGAGAAGAATATGAGAGAGAAACATCTGAGAGCCTAGTGCAGAAAGATTTTTCAAGAGGGGGTGGGGTTTCAACTGTGACAACTACTGTGGTAGGCCAAGTCAGATAGGGGAGGATCAACAACAATTGAAAATTTTTATCTAGGGGTCATTGGTAAAGTGGATGAGAATATTGTCTTAAAAGTATTGATTTTGTTTTCAAATTTTACATGCCAATCTATGAGAAAACATTCAACATAACTAACACCTTACGGACCAGCTGAAGTTTGGGCATAGGTAAGAATTATTTTAGTTTAGCTGAACTCTAGTGAGACTTGCATAGGCAGCCATCTGCGTTCTAAGACCTTCTGCATAAAAGGCTACATTTTCAGAACTCTGGCTTGATTTCCTGCAGGAACACTGCATTTTGAATCTGCATTTGGAGACCACCTGCTCCAGGCAACTACAGGTAGCTTTCAAAGCAGATTGAGAGATAAAATAACTCCTTTGAAGAGGTTAGAAATGTCTGAATACATAGTAGCACTTTCATAGGAGATGAAATACTTAGTAAGAAAATTTGGCTCTTGAAGCTCCTGAAGTTTGACGCACTGAATCGCTCAGCCTCAGGGGCAGGGGGTCTCTGCTGGTCAATCATCCTAGGATGCCTGCAGCATCACTTTGTGGATCCAGATTAAAAGGCAGACACAACATAGAAACTGTTTCGTTGGGTTTTTTCCCTCAGATGCTTGACTCTCCAGAAGCCCTATTCCTCTTCAGAAATCACACACAAGTAATCAGAGGGTATGATTTGTTATATGATGTTAGAAAGACCTGGAGCCACATGTGACTTGGCTATAGACATAGGAAGGATGATTTTCCATGTACTTATTGATATGAAGAGGGACAAGTGAAAACAACGTCAGTGAATCTTAATGATTGATGAAACGTAAGATGAAATTTTGTAAGAAGATAGAAAATTCAGGCTTCAATTAGGCTTCAATTTCCTCATGGGATCAGAGTGAGAGAAATGGGATTCTGTGACAACGTGAGTGAGAAAGTCTCAAAGAGAGCCAGTCATGGGACGTGGCTGCCTAAAGTGAAATGTCATCTTGGGCTGAAAAAACAAGATTATCTAGAATGAGGTAAATTTTATTCCATATACTCCTCTGTATTGTCAGGCTACTCGTAGACATACTGCAAGAGAAATAAAAAAGTGAATTTTTTTCAGAGAAAGCAATCAGTTTCTTATATGCCTGAAAATGGTGCCATATGGGGACTATTGTGAGAAATTGGGTATTTTTAGCAAGTAGAAGCAATGGCATGGATGATATAAAATATTTCTCTTCAAATGTAAGACAGCAATTTCAGATTTTCTTTCATTTCTTCAAATATAAGACATAAAATTTGTGGTAGCATGATTTCAAGCATTAAAATACTGCCACTGAATGAAAGTGATGCATAGTCATTGTTGAATTCAATATATGGAAAGACTTTTCGGAACATTCTAACAAGACAGAACGAGTGAATTGTCCATTCTTGGAGATGTTGAAGCATAGGTTTGGACCACTGTGCCCAGACAGACACAAAAGAGTGAAGTGCTAAGACTTGGGGCAAGTCCACCTTTGTACCAGCCCCATTGCCAATGAGTCAATTCTAAATGATAGCAGGGCTATAGGACTGAGTAGAACTGCCTCTCTTAAAGGCTGTAACTCTTTACAAAATCAGACTCACTACATCTCTGTCCCTTGGAGTGGCTGGCACAATTCAACCACTTACTTGCTTAGCAGTCAGGTACTTATCTCCCATGCTCTTTTCATATTGTTGTTGTTGTTTAATGCCGTCAAGTCATAGATGACTCATAGCGACCCTATGAACGAACAGCCTGAGCACTGTTCGCACATAGAGTTTCCAGAGGCAAGCCATTTTGGAAGTGGATGCCACTCTTGCTTCCAGCTTTTCATATTAAGAGATTATAATTTGAAGGGTAAAAGACTCAAGATTTGTGGTGTTTGGCTAAGGATGAAACAAGTAAATTGCTTCTACAAGTCCAATATTACACAAGAGGAGAATGCATCAGCTATGAATAAAACTGTGGAAGCTTCATGTCCTTATATAGTCATCTGTTGTTGTTGGTTGCCTTCAAGTCGAGCACAACTCATAGCGACACTATGAACAAAAGGCCTGAAGCCCCTCTACAACTATCAACATTTATCAAAGTTCATAGAGTTTCCGGAGGCAAGTTGTTTAGGAAATGGATGCCATTCCTGCTTCCAAACCTGTCATAGAATGTTACTGGTTGAGTCGCCTGTGATGCATAGCTACGCTACAGCAGCTCTGAACCCTTCCCTGTCCTGAGCAAGTCTCATTAATTCTGACACACCATTAATTCTGACACACTCCTTTGCCCCAGTCAATCCATCTCATCCAGGGTCTACTCTCCTAAGCTGTCTGTCCACCTTTCTGAGAATGATGTCCTTCTCCAAGGACTGATCTCTCCTGGCTACATGCCCAAACTAAGTGAGGCAGAGCTTCAAAATCCTGTTCTCCAAGGAGAAACTTGGTTTCACCCTCTCCAAGACAGATCTATTTGTTTTCTTGGCAGTTCATGGTATGTTCAAGACTCTTCTCCACCACCACAATTCAAAGGCATCTATTCTTCTTCTATCGTCATTGTCTAACTTTCTGAAGCAAAGCAAGTAATTGAGAAAACTATCACCTGGATTAGGTGCACCTTTATATCTAGACCGACATCATTGCTCTTCGGCAAGGCTCTGCACTATCCTCACAATTGCTGAGATGTTTGATCCCATTCTTGTTGCTGCTTTGCAGGTCTTCCTCTTTTTTGCTGCCTATCTTGTGGCTTAGTGGTACAGGGTTACACTGATAACTCAAAGGCTCATGGTTTAAATCCACCAACTGCTCCATGGAAGAAAGTTAGGTCATCTCCTTCCGTGCCATTTACTCCCTCTAAAAACTCACTGGAGTGTCAGTTAGAAAAAGTTCCAATTTGGCAAAACAGAACAACTATGCTCCAGGCATTTGGTCCTTCCCGAGAATGTGTTCAAAGAGCATGACAGATGCAGCAAATCCAGAACATTTTTATAATTAAGACATGATATAGAAAATATAATTTCCTAAAACTTAGACCACAAATTTTCCATGAAAAAAAATTTCATAGAAATTCCTCCCTAGAAAGTAAGGAGGAATGTTTAAAGAGTTTAAAGATGTTTAAAGAGCTCCATTTAGTATGAAAGTGAAGGGTAGAGGGTAAGGGTGAACAATTCAGGAACTTGGTTTAAAAAGTTCATGATTTTCCAAGCAGTGGGGGGGAAAAAACCAACCCCTAAACAAAAAAAAAAGCTAAAAAACAGAACCCAAAAGACTAGCATCTCTTGAATCTATTACTAGGACAGTTAGCAGCACCATGGTCAGTATTAACCTCAAGGGTCACTGCATCTGGAAGCCAGTCAAAGTTAGGCAGCATCTGTTTGTTATTTTGTGTATGTAGTAAAAATATTGCCTTTAGTCAATTAAATTTTTCTTCAAAACGTGAACATTGCCTCAGCATAATTTCCCTTCTTTGTCCCTTTTTTTCCTTTTTTTTTTTAAATCATGAAACAACTTGGCATTCCATTTAAAATATTGCATAGACCCGGTAGATGCCATATTTCATTGTCAAACAGGTTCATGATTTGTAATGAATATTGTGGTCAGGGAGGAAGCCTGTGAATAGTTTCTAATAATCCTTAGCAATTCATACATGAGAATAAGGGTTTAGGCTAAGACTGGTTTTAATTTTACTTCATATAAAACAGAGAAGTCTACTTACCAGATGTTGTCCTATTTCAAGTTACTCTAAAAATCTTGGGGTAAATTACGGCTGAACTTCAAAGCAGTCTGTTGCCATTACCCCTCAGACTTTGTGAATACATAACAATAATAAAAAGAAACAGGTACATATTGATCACTATCAACAGCAATCTGTGGAATGATACGAGAAGTTAGGGAACTAGAAATAAGTTTGAAGAGGTGGCTTGCTAGAGAAAATAGATCAATTACATTTAGGTATCTAACAAGTTTGACTGTGTTGTTTTATAAGTCTTCCTTTTCTTTCATTTCTTTTTAAGAGATTGACTTAGAATATGTTTTTCCTAAATACAATCCTGAACAATATATCCTTGAATAAGGTTGATGGTCTGTAAAAGTGCTTAATTTAAGTATATTTTTTGGCAAAAATGTGAACTTTATCGACATGAAAATAAGAAAGTGATTATTTGCTGATAACCTAAGGGGCTTTAGACATTGTGCTTGGAATTGGCGTTGAGTCAGGGTCATGTCTAGGGAGCTCTGGTGACACAGTAGTAAGGAGTCATGCTGCCAACCCAAAGATATGTGGTCTAAATCCGCTGGCTGCTCCCTGGGAGAAAGATGAGCAATCTCCTCTTACATGATTTCCAATCTTTGAAAACCCTCTGGCCAGCTATGAGTCACTTCCAAGTGGATAACACAAAACAGTTTCACGTATAAAGTAATTTTCTCCAAAAGATTATTTCCCTTTCAAGAAAGATTTACAAGAAATGGCATAGCTGTGATAGCATTTTGTAAATTCCAAGATTAAAAAAAAAATTGAGTGGGCACTGTTGTTGTTAGGTGCCATCAAGTCAACTACTATTTCTAGAACTCCTATGAACAGATCTGAACCTTGCCTGACCCTGCCCCACCACCCTCATCATCTGATATGCTCAAGTTCATTGTTTCAGTCACTGTATCACCCCATCTTGTTGAGAGTCTTCCTCTCCTTAACTTTCTCCGACCCTCCACCTTTCCCAGCACTATTTTAGCTTATTTTTTACTTCTCTACAGGCAAATGCATTCAGGGTGTTCCTTAGAGGTAAGGAGGATGAGATTTCATTTCCATACAGTGAGCATGTTGTCAGCAGAGACCAGTCCTTGGAAAAGCATGTCATGCTTAAAAATGTGGAGAGTTTAAGGAGCAGAGGAAAATCCTCAGTAAGATGGATTGATACAGTGACGATACCAAGAGGCTTAAAAGCACAGTGGAATAAAATCACAATTAACACTTAAAAAGTTATTTAAAAATTCTAAGAAAAAAAAAGCACAGTGGAGATTGTGAGGATGGTACAAGACTGGACAAGGGTTCCATCTGTTGTACATACACTCACTAAGTGTTGCCGTCAACTCAATAGCACCTAAAACCAACAATAACTTGCGGATTGAAACCAATATGCGTCCTAAATAAATTCAAAATTAAGTAATGCACATCACTATCCTATTTATTCTTCTCATCAACAGGAAGCTAGCGACAGAGGTAGAAGTTCCCTGGGTTTTTCACTAACTCAGTGCCCAGGCTTCTCTCACCTCTCAGACAGTTCAGGCCTGTATAGGGCCGGTGGCAATCACACTGGTAACCAAGCCACAGGTTGATACAGCGTCCTCTGTTTTGACAAGGTTGGCTTTCACACCAATCCTTTCTCACACAGCCTGCCTTGACGTTTAATGATGAGTAGGATGAAATGTTTTCTGAGGTAATGTGATTCCCATCAATCCTAATGTCTTCAAGACATCCTACAAATGAAGGCGAGGATGGTATATGATAGGTGTTAAGAAAAACATTGCCATTGCTGGTCTTTCCTAAGGGCAAACCACCCAAAAAAGAGTTCTGAAAATCACATATGGGTTGATTCTTTTCAAATGGAGAAGGTGCTTCAGTGATGCATTTCTCTACACAGGAGTTGTCCAATAAAGTAAGGGTCACAGTCTCTGCCAAGATTATCTCCACTGTATGCCACTGTCCATCACTGGTGGTGTGAGGAATATACAGAAGCACTTTTGACTGATTATTGACTTGAATTGATAAGTGAATATGACCATTTAGCAGCTCAAGCTTGACGAACATGTTCTTGTTGCCTTGGAAGAGGAGTAGTGTTGTGGCCTGAACCGTCTGGAACCTCAGGGCTATGTTACAAGGTGAGCCCTTGGGTGTTCCTGAGTCACTTCCGAGTCTCAGGAAGCCATTACCTTCAAAAGAAAGTGTGGTGCCAATTTCACACAGTGAACCAGTATAGCCAGGTGGACAAAGGCAGCTGAATCCATGCTGGCCATGTTGGAAGTGAGGGATGCATATTCCATTATTTTGGCATTGGTGATGGATGCAGCCCAGGAGAATATCAGAACAGTTCTCTCCTCCAAAGAATATTCCAGATTGGTTATCAAATAGGCAATGGCAAGTATAATTGCCAAGCAAGTTTTCACAGGTACCGCCATTTTGGCAAGGATTTGAAGAGCATTCATTGAAGTCCTCTTCACAGTGAATTCCTGTAATACAATAAAAAATAGGCCAGGATTACATATATTTAGACCAGAAATAGAGGTTTTACATAATTTTATGTGTGATTATGTAGAAGTACAGAAATAAATTATGTTCAGTACTATAACAAGGGGACAAACATAGTCAACGGAAGAATGCTAAAATAGATTATATATTGGATGGTGCCTCCTTGGAGATGAAGATGATAAAACTGCCTCTCACATACTTTGGGAATGTTGCTAAGAGAGACTATTCGTTAGAGAGAGACATCATGCTAAGGAAGAGGGAGGGATAGCAAAAGAGAGGAAGACCCTCAACCAGGTGGATTGACACAGAAATAATAGCAATGTGCTCAAGTGTGTCACAGATTCTGAGGATGGCACAAGATAGGACAAGGTTCAGATCTGTTGTTCATAGGTCACTATGAGTTGTACTTGACAGCACCTAACAACTACAACAACAATGTGTTTTGAGAAGTGTGGTCACAGTAGATCTCTAATTCTTCCTCTTTATTAAATAATTTGTCAAATATAGCGGTTGAAGCAGCATAGTTATGTCCAACTCACCTAAGATATTAAAGTCTTAAAAATTATTCCCATTGCTATTGACAGAGATGCTACAAAAACACTCACTAGTGTCAGATCAGTTCTGACTCATAGTTACCCTCCTTTGGGTTTTAAATTGTAACAGGAAGATACTGACTACCTTTCTTTCACTGAGCTGCTAGTTGATTTGAGCCACTAGAGATGTGTGGTCTTTGGGATAGCAGTGCAGCTAGCTATGGGATATGCCACCAGACCTCCAGAGAGTATAATTTCTCTGATATTGTCTATTCTGCTTAGGCTGTTAATGTAATTTTGTTCTATAATAAACAGTGATTTTTGCTTTCTATTTTATTTGTGTCTCCCTATAACTCCTAAAATGAGCTCTGATGGTCACATATGTAAGGAGTTGCACTGCCAGCCCAAAGGCAGGAAGTTTAAATCTACCTGATGTTCCAAGGGAGAAAGATGGATTATCTCCAGTGCAATTTATTGCCTCTGAAAACCCTCCAGAGGGTCAGCTATGAGTTTATTCTGAATCGATGATGCATAGTAACAAACAACATAACTCCTAAAACCAAAGTTCGCCAGATGGATAAACAATTGAGACTACTATGGGTCAATGGATGACTGGTCCCATTTACTCAATCCCATGAAATACCAACTTTATTCCATGACAAGCTCCTGCTCAGTTTTCAGTTACCTATTTTGTTTACCTCTTTTCCTTATTTTAAATAAAAGATAATTAATTAAAAAATTATGACAATTCACTTAATACCACAAGAACAAATATTACATGTTTGGGGAGTGATAGTTATTGCTTTCTCAAAGAAGTTCAAATGAACAAATAGTGACAGCAAAAATTTACACATTAATGGTTTTATCAACAACTTTATATGCATTAACTATGATCATTATCTACCACAGGAGGATGCTTTATCATCCTTTCCTCCAAAAAGTCTGGCTGCACTTTCTCCAAGACATATTGGCTTGTTCTTTTTTTTTTTAAATGAAAGTAAAATTCTTTATTCTTTTACCATTTTATCTGAGATATGTAGTAACACTGTATTGGGAGACATATTGGTCTGTTCTTTTGACACTCTATGGTATGTTCAGTACTCTTCTCCAACATCAGAGTTCAAAAGCATTCAATTCTTCCTCTGTCATCCTTATTCAATGTCCAGAGCTCAGATACATAGCAAGTGATTGGAAAGACCATGGCCTGATTCAGGCACAACTTGTCCTCAAGCTTATCTCATTGCTCCTCAATAATTTCGAGTGGGCCCCAGCTGCAGACTTTCCCAGTGCAATACATCTCCTGTTCTCCTGACTACAGGTACCAAGGGTGTGATTATGGATCTAAGTAAGATAAAGTCATTGACAGCATCTATCTTTTCTCCATCTATCATGATCTTACCCACTGGTCCAGTAGTAAGAAATTTTGTTTCCTTGATGTTGAGATGCTATGTATGTTGGAGTCTGCATTCCTTGATTTTCTGCAACAAATGCTCCAAACCCTCCACACTTTCAGCAAGCAAAGTTGTGTCATCTGCATAATGCTGGTTATATTTTTAAAATTTTATTTTATTACTTTTAATAAACATTTACTGAGATCTTGGATTTTCATTCATTCATTGTTGCACTTTTTTCTTTACCCACCTCCCCTCAGTTCGCTCCTCTCTTTGAAAAGCAAAAGATAAACTTCTTTGTTGGTATACAATAACCCCAACCCTGATCCTGGCCCCCCAACCCCCCTGCCCCAAATGCACTCCACTATGCAACCTTAATTCTGGATTCCTCTGATAATCATAATATGCTATCATATATCACTTTTAAACTGTTCTTTCCCTCATCTGCTTCAATTCAGTATGCATAATCTATCCAGTTTTTCTCAGTCTTACCCAAACCCTGTTGTCAGTTACTTTCTACAACGGTGGTGGTACCATGTAGTATTTGTCCTTTTGTGACTGAGATGTTTTACTCAGCATAATGTCCTCGAGGGCAGGGATAGTAGTCCCCCACTATCAGAATTTATGCAGTCGAGTCTCCTGCACTTGGGGATATCACAGGGGTTAGAACATCCAGAGTGCAATGGATGGGCCTAACTCTGGGAAATCCAGCTTCCTAATCATGGTATTTCCTCTGCCATGGAGGTATAAATAATCCAGGTTATTAATGAGTCTTCCTCCAATTCTGCTGCCACATTTCTTTTCAAAGAGTCTAGCTTGTTGAATAATTTTCTCAGGATACAGATGCTTAGATATGAATACAATCCTGACACACTCCTTTCTTAATTTTAAATGGAATAGTGCTATCTTGCTCCATTTGGACAGTGAAAAATTTCCCCTTACAGTGACGTTACTCTAACTACATTCATGTCAACATGTAAGCCAGTTACTTCATATTTCATATCCTAATATCTCCCTTTTAGATAACCAATTTCTGATTTGCCCATCCCTATCAAACCAGAACTCTGAGAGAATAGTCGCATCCCATTACATGTATGCTTTTTAAGCAGTCTTAAAAAGAAGTGATCTCCAAACTATTTTCTTACTAAAATAGAGACATCTACATTTAGACATTAAAATGTTCAGACACCTTTGTGTATGAGCAGTTCTGCTTTGTCCTACAAGGTCACTATGAGTTGGAATTGGCCCAATGACAATTGGTTTAGTTTTGGTTTCTTAGGTAGTTAGTGTGTAGGATTGTTGCTGGTTTTGCATACTGTCATTCAGAATGGTCCTGTAGCTGACCCTCCAGTGAGTTTTCAGAGACAATTAATAGCATAGGAAGATACTGCCCATCCTTCTCCTGTGGAGCAGCTTGTGGATTTGAACTGCGTGTCTTTGAGATTGCAGTGCAGTTTCTCACCAGGTTACCAGAGGATAGTGCATGCTTATTTCATGAAGGTAGAGACTGTGTCTTCTTCTATGTGATGTGAGGTAGGGATTAAATTTAATCTTCAACATTCAAAAGTTCCTACTTAATTTATTTCAGAAGTATTTCCTTCCCAATTTTTTGTGCATTTGTCATCTCTGTCATATATCAAGTCACTCTTTTTCTGGGATCTCTACTGAGTCCTATTTTAAAATTAATCTAATGTTAAGTAATACAAATTCTAATTAATTCTAATTCATTGTCTCTCAGAGATGATGAGGATGGCACAGGATAGGACAGATTTCAGACTCAAAGTCACTATGAGTCATACTCAACTGGATGCATCTAACAATAATTATTATATATTCATAATTAGTATTGTCTAAGAAATTTATATCCCTTGAACCATGGTTCATTTTTAATATTTTAATAGAATTTTGGAAATTTTATTCTTTCAAGGGCATTTTAGAATAATTTTGTCAGAGTTGATAAAAAAAACTTGATAGTATTGAATTTCTTTACATTTACGTTTTTCTTTAATTATTGAAGTTGCATAGATAACCTATCCATTTTTTAAAACATGCATTTAAATTAGCTTTGTGTAAGTTTTGCTTCGTATTTTTCATTTTGATTTAGAGCATTTCTGTTATTACACTTTTCTAAATAAGCTCTGGTTGTCTGGTGGTAAGGAGTTATGCAGTGAGAGATAGATAGTTAGAAGCCATCTTCTGCTTCAAGGAAGAAAGATAAGCAATCTCTTTCTGTGCTATTTATATCTTCTGAAAACCTGCTGGAAGGTCAGCTATGAGTAGGTTCTGATTCTACAGCAATGAGAGAGTGAAATATTCTCATTATTTTTTGACCAACGATTTATTTATAAATGCACATAATAATTTTCAAATGTAGAAGACTTTTTTGGTTTTGATTCCTATTAATTGCATGGCAGATAGAAAATGAGGTCTGTATTAAAAAGATTCTTTGAAAGTAGTAAATTTTTAAAAATATTTCATGGATGGTTGAGAAGATTGTGGACTCTGCTCTGAATGTGCTCACCAACTTGTGCCCGGAAATCTGGAGAGCAACCACTTGGTCAGCTGACTGGAAGAGATATATATTTTGTTCCCATTCCAAAGAAGGGTGACCCAACAGAGTGTGGAAACTATAGAACAATATTCTTGTGAGGATTATCCAAAAACAACTGAAACAGCAAGCACATCAGCAGAGAACTGCCAGAAGTCCAGGCTGGGTTTAGAAGGGGTCGTGGTACTAGGGATATTGTAGCTGATGTTAGATGGATCTTGGCTGAAAGCAGGGAATACCAGAAGAATGTCTATCTGTGTTTCATTGATTATGCAAAGGCATTTGACTGTGTGGATCATAACAAACTGTGGCTGACTCTGAGAAGAATGGGAATCCCAGAACACTTGATCGTGCTAATGCAAAACCTATACTTGCCTAAATGTAGCAACTCCTTTTATTCCTATAAAACTCTTTGTCTTAATATCTACTTTACCAACAATTAATATAGCTATCTTAGGTTGGCTTCTCTAGAGCTATCAGGCTAAAGACCTTCCCTTGACTTATGTAGC